GCTGTTGTCGTTGGATTTGAAGCACGGAATGGTTAGTGTTGACCCTGGATGTCAGTGGATGTTACTCTGGAAAACTGTCAGACGAAGCGTCCTGTGTGATGTGTTGGCGTTGATGACGTTGGACCGTTATGTATCAGTGCACACACGCTATCCACGTTTGTTTTCAGCTAGTTTTTAGTCCAACGAGTTGTTCCGAAAACTCCGTGAGTATGACACTTTTGCAAGGGAAAGACATGTACGTTGCAAGCTTAGACATAGTTAGCATCCATCAAAAATAGTTGAATCCTCAGGAAAAACTTCTCAGAACGGACTTGCTATCATGTATATCTGTTGTGGATGAAAAACGAATGGAGGCAACCCATCGTGACTTTATGAATCACTTACAATGGTCCTGTTCACATGAGCGACCTGAATGCTCGAATTCCTTAGGTGTAGATAGAATGACTGAATGCAGTGTAGGTACCAGGCCACATTTGGCCGCTATCTTCTCGCCTATCGACGTGTCTGCAAGGCGCCTGTTGGCCCGGGGCGTGTTGCGACGTGACGACTTCGGACCGTCCTCACGCCAGTGAGCAGAGCTGGCGTTCGCTGGAGTGCCGTCAGGGCTTCAGCAGCAGGGCAGTGGGCCCGTGCTGAGGCATTCTCGTCGCGCGGCCAGGTCACGATCAGTAATGTGGGCGCACGTACTAAGCAGACAGTCCTCAGCGCTTATGCGCCGCCTTGCCCTTGCTGCCGTCCATGATGTGGGAGTTTGCGTGTAACTCCTACGGTCTCTGCGACTCGCGGCATCAAAATTTGATGCCAAGCCCTGCGCCAAGAGCGCGGAAGAACAGAAGATGCGCAGTTTATTGAAACTGCTCCGAAGCGTTTTTGGATGCTGCGAACTTTTAATGCAATGGCGGAAGCAGCCAAAGGCAAAGTGAGCACATGGCAGCCCACTCATCCAGGCGCCTCGATCTGCGCGCCGAGTCCCTTCACGGCCGGCCCGCTCGGCTCTGAACCGGGCGCTTTGGTGGAGCTGAACCGACGTTTGATGGAGCCGGCGCCGGTGGAGCTGAACCGACGTTTGATGGAGCCAGCGCCGGTGCCACGGACGCGGGCGGGGTTTGCGGCCTGCGTTGGCACGGTCAGGCCGCCGACTCGCTGGCACACCGCCCGTCACGGCCCGGAAACGTGCCGTCGGCTACACGGGATCAGGGGTGGGGGGGGGGGGGGGGGGGGTCGCATTCCCCGGCCATCAAACCGGCTCGTTGACGTGTCACGTTTCGGTTTCGCCAGCTCTTTGAACTGGAGTTCGCTGATAAGCCGGATGACCTCTTCAAGTTTTTACCAAAGTGTCTTTGATCGTCGGGCCGCGCCTCGCGAGCTGGCACAGTTTCCGGTTAATTTCGAGCGTCTCTACATGCAGGAAATAATTTCCGGTGGCGGATGTTGCCCTTGCTGGGTATCGGCTCTTGCACGCCCTTTCATTTATGTTCCTTAAGAAGTGGCACTCAGGTTCTGATGGGACAACATCTGCCTGGTATTGGACGCTCGGGGGGAGTTTTGCGATCACCAAGTGACAAATACGATTTACCAAATTTGTTTTCTATCACGAAATTGCACTTTTGTTTACCAGCACCAAATCGAAGTCGGTTGACGAAAACTTGCCACCTGAATGGGTCCGGCAGTCAACGTTTTTCGCTTTCCAATTCTGTCATTGAACTCAGCTATTCTGAGCGTTTAATTACGGTAGCCGGTGGAGACATATGAGAGCATTATATGGGGAGTCCCAGTGACGCACCCTCTCGGGTGCTGTTTCACTATGTATAGCTCTTACTTGGGCAGGATATCACTCTCCGGATACAGCGCCTGAACAATCACGCCGGCTCCACCCGACTGTGCAGCGCTATACACGTGGGGCGTATTTTAAGACATTTAATTGTTCCACGCCCACTGCGTTAATGACGCGGGAGAGCTGTACTTTTTCGTCCATAGTTTCTGTGATCCTTGATGGTTGCGTAGCTCGACGATTAATTTGACCGCGGCTCACGGTATGGATGGAAATTATCGGAAGAAAACGCACGACTTCTGCGCGCCTGTAGCTGGCACCGCCCCGGCTGGAGCCGGACCCGCGGCGGTGACCTCCACTGACCTGTGCCGCGGCACGCCTTTGGCCACCGTCGCCGTGTGGTGACCTTTGTTGACCCGTCCGGCAGGACACGTTCCGGCTGTTGACGCCGGGCGGCGGCGGGTTCGGCTCGCCGGGCGGCCTCAAGCCGGCGGAGGCCTTGGGGGCCGGCCAGGGCGCGCCACGCACATTCCTGGCGCGTGGCAGCCTGCACGACTACCTGCTGGCCCAAGAGTCGGTGTAGTGACGCAGTCAGCTGTCTCGGCAGGTCGTGTCGGAGTCAGCACCACCACCAGCTGATCCAGAAATGGGGGGGGGGGGGGGCTTGGTTTAGCGATCCTTGGTAGTGCAACGATCCGGACCGAATGTTCCGATGGTCGTGTTCTGTATTGTGGGGTGGTCTGGCATGGGATGCATGGTCTTCCGGTGGAATGTGACAAACGGTGCCTTCCGCGTGCCTTGGGATCTGTTATATATCGATCTGAAGCAAGCGCGCGCGTCTGCTGTTTAACGTACCGTTTGGCCGCAGGTAGCGCCCTAGGTGAACGGTTACGCTAGTAGTTTGGGCTAGCATCAGACTGAGACGCTTTTACAACCAGATTTCTACGCATCGTGCGGCGAATGTTAAATGTCAACGAATTTGTATTTGTTGAAAGGAGGCGATGAAAACATTTTATGATGCGGAGCGTTGATAATGCGCCAACTCGCTGTGCTGTTACCCATATGTGGTGTGACGGGGTGCCGGGCAACGCCTTTGCATGTGGGGTTCTTTATTGCAGGTCCTTAGCACCTGGCTGGCATGCGTACAATGCAGTACACAAGTGCAATACGGTATATCAGTGCTGTCACTCTTAGTGGAGTAATACACATTATGGACTGAACGGTCAGATAGTGCAGCTTATATAGACGCAACTTCGGCCGGTGCATTTTGGCGTGGCATTGGCCACCTTTGAAGGTAGTACTTGTGCGTGTGCGATACGTGTGCGTTTGCGCGCGCATGCGAACGTGCGCGCACGTGTGTGCACATGCGAACGTGCGCGCGTGCGTGTGCGTGCGTGTGCGTGCTTGGTGCGTGCGTGTGTTCCTGGACGACGCAGTGTGGAGACTGGAGCCTGTGTCGGGCCCCGGCCCCGGCCCCGGCCTCGGACGGCTGGACCCTGGAGCGGGCCCCGCCAGTATCAGCCGTGCGCCGGCGTCCAGTCACACCTCATGATCCGAGCGCGGCGTGTCTGATGCTGGAAGCGCTGGAAGGTCTCCAGAGTGGCCGTCGCGCCGCCGACGCAGGACGCGGCGCGGGGGCGGACGCCGCAGACGCTGGAGGGTCTCCAGAGTGGCCGTCGCGCCGCCGGCGCAGGACGCGGTGCGGGGGCGGACGCCGCAGACGCTGGAGGGTCTCCAGAGTGGCCGTCGCGCCGCTGGCGCAGGACGCGGTGCGGGGGTGGACACCGCAGCATGAGCGGCGCCCGAGGAGCAGTTATGCAGGATTCGGACAGCTTGTCGGGAGATCTGGCTGTGTGTACGCAACGGTAGCGGTAGGTTCCAATAGCGCGGCTCGTTAGGTTTCGTTTATGGCAGGAGGCACGTGCTTGGTCGGTGTGGGTCTCAAACTTCGCGGCCTCCCGCGCTGATGGTAGCGAGGGGGGGGGGGGGCGGCGCGCCTGGCAGTGGGTCTCGAACCGACACCGTCGCGGCCGCGTGGAGCAGCGACTGAGCGCGGCCGGCCAGCGCTGAGGCGCGCCGCGCCAGTTACACGGCCTGAAGACCGCTCTGAGACGTGAGCCCAGCGTTGGACTGTGAAGACGTCCGGGTCACCGTCGGTCGTAGCACCGAAGTTTCCGCCGTAATAATCCGTGGTGCCGCAGATGACTGCCTCAGACGCGTGATGAATAACGCGGCAAAGTCCAAAGATGAGCAGAGATGCAGGGCCACCTGGTCCAGCCCACTGGAGACGTGCAGAGCGCGATAAGACGCACTTGAACGCCACATCACACAGCTATCGTCAGCCTATGTTGTCATAAACCGCATCGTCGAACATGCCATCCAGATACGGTCCGAAGCTGCTCATTGTTCGTCACGGGTGATCATCAGCACGCGTTCGCCGTCGATGCGCCTCGCCATGCAGGCGAAGGCGTGGTACTTCTCACTCTCGGTCAAGCAAGGTTGAGTGACGTCATAAGTAAGCCGGAGCACCGTTCTTCATTGGCAACTGGAAGCCCATTCCCCACTTCGAATAAGCCTTTTCGATCCACCACGTACACTCTGTCCTGACGATGCCACAGAAGCTCGTGCTCTACATGGCCGGGAGGCGATACGGTACGGTAATTCACGGGTTTCCATAGCAACGCCAAGCAATGGTTGACGCGCTGTTGGCGGTCCCGTACGGTGGCAAGTGGGCAGCTCTCAACCGTATTTTGGATGGCGTGAAGGCACTGATAATTTTGACCACAAGTCGTCAGTAACTGCAATCAAATAATGTCCAAGTGCGTCATTGCTGCACGCTATATGTCTTGGTGGCTGCATCGCACGATCCTTCTCTCTTATATTTGGACTTACAGCGTTTTTCAAAGCCGCGTATGACGCACGAACCTGTGACAACTCAGATTGCTGACTCAATGAGCTTGGCTCGGCTATGAAGAACTGGGCCCAGCTAACTGCACCGCGGACCGACCACGGCCACTCGAAATGGTGAACGGTCTTTCACTTGTCAGTGAAGAACGGGGCCCCGGTGTGAATGCAGCACGAACACCACTGGCACCAATATCGAAATCCAAATCCTCACCACGCTAACACGTTCATGAAGATGGGCTTCTTGCCTGCGTCGCGACATCGCTGCTCATGTCCCAGCACCGCGCTCCGGAGGCGCCCGGCGCCCCGCTCCACAAACACACGGTCCGATTGAAAGTCACTTTATTCGCCAAACAGGACTGGAAAGCGCGGGCCAACGGGGGACCGGGGACGGCCAGAGCGGGGCCGCGCGGCGGGGCGTCGCTGCGCCGGCAAGACTCGTGGTAAAGTTCAGCCCCCAGCCGGCCGCGAACCCGCGCCGCTCGCCCTCCGCTGGGACCGCGCCGGGGGCAGTCGAGATCTGGTGCACTGGAACTAGCATCAACTAGCACTCGACTGTACAAACGCCAACAAAACAACACACCAAGAGAGGAACGGTGGGGCCGCGCGGTGACCGGTGACGTCACCGACGATGCCTGGTGACCTCAGTGCGGGCGGCGCCGCACTAGGAAAGGCCGGCCGGCGGGCGAGCTGTGAAGGGCCGGGCCCGGGCTGCGGCCGCCGTCGGACCCGCCTCCAGCCTGGACGGACTGCTCTCGGCCGCCCCGCCCGCCGGGGAGCGCGGTCCGGACGTGACACCCCGGGTTAATCTGATTCCGGGCCGCGACACGTCCACGAAGTAAACCGCGGTTCGTGCCGTCGATCCTGACGGATCACTTGCACGGGCGAGTTGATGCGCCGATCTGTCGCAAATCTGTGCTACGCATGGGCTGGATTGTTCACCGTGGCCAGTGGCCTGCCTCATCGTGGCGACCCAGTCTGGACTGCGGTCTGCGGCGCCAGCGGCCATTCAGGAGGCCAGCCAACGGTCTGACCACTGTGTATGACGCCAAGGTGATATCCCAGACCCGGCACCAAGGGGGCCGGGTCTGGCTTGCGTCCACCGGACGACGGCGGGGCGCGCCGGCCGAGGGGGCGCGACTGGGCCCGACTGGACAGGACAGGACTGGGGACCACCGGACAGAACAGGACAGGACAGGACAGGACAGGACAGGGCTCGGCCGGACAGGACAGGACACGACTGAGCCCGACCGGACAGAGGCCGCGGCGCGGAAAAGCCAAGCTCAAATAAGGCACGGAGCTTCAAACCCATTGGCACGCGCGAATCTGCTCTTGAAATGGTGGCACGGCTCAGCGTAGGCGTTCTGTCTCGGTGCGGTGCCGCGTCACGGAATCTTACGGCAGCCGATAGTTACCCGCAAAGAACTGACTGGTAACCCGTCCAAACAAGCACTTCCGACTCACAGCGGCGCACCAAGTGAGAAAAACGCAGCGTAAAGAGAGTGCCACCGACCACTCCTCAGTTGCGCCGACATGCCGGCGCCGAGCATCATCGAGAAACAACGACGCGGGACGCAGCCTGGACCGCGGCGTGCTCCCACGTCGGATCGGCAGTCCTCTTAGCCAGGGCGAACCGTCCTCTCGGCACGGTAAACAGTCCTCTCGGCACGGCGAACCGTCCTCTCCGGCCTGGCCGGGCGTCCTCTCGCGGGGCGTCCCCTCGTCGCTGTCGGTCCAGCGCCGGCTCGGCAGAGTCCTCCCCGCCGGACGGAGCATCCTCCCGGCCAGGCGTGCTGTCCTCCTGGACCGGGTGTAGCGTGTCCTCCTGAGCCGCGCCGGACCAGAGTCTCGCGCGGACTGGGCCTCCCCGAGCCGCCTCCGACCGGCGCTCTCTCTCGCCCCGCCGACGGGACGCCCCCTGACGCGGGCCGGGCCGGGCCGGGCCGGGCCGAGCTGGCAGGCAGCGGGCGGGCCGGGTCACTGCGCCTGAGGGTCACACTGCAGCAGCCGCACGATGGACGGATCACTCTTGGCGCCCTCCACGAACTCCTCCAGGCTGAGCTTGCCGTCGTGGTTGCGGTCCATCTGGCGGAAGATCTTGTCGGTGCGCTTCTCGGGCGTCGACTCGTCCTCCGGCATCTTCATCACGGAGCCCACCATCTTGTAGATGGCCTGCGGACGGGGTCGGGGTCAGCGGCGCGTGGCGCGGCGAGCCGGCGCAGCGACGCGCGCGACTCAGTGGCCCGAGCCGCCGCGCCCGCCAGCGTGGCTTGAGAGCAGAAACCCAAGGTGTGTTACCTGACAGTAGCTAAACGATATGGCTTTCGTGCTGTGTTGGCCAAAGGCGTGTTTACCGCGATTTGTGTCAGCCGGGAAAAACAAATCAGGCTCAAGTGTACCAATGCGGGGAAGCAGCAGACGTCAGCCAACGGAAACTTATCAGGATCAAGTGTACCGATGCAGGACAGCAGCAATGAAGCCGGCCAAGGAAAATAATTTTAACATATTGGTTTGAGCTGATCAAAGAAAGCCTTAAAAACACAACAAGCCATGATGCATCTCAAAACTAAAAACAGCGACCCCTTCACAACAATTAGCGGTGCAAAATATTCTTCTGGGTTCAGAGCTCTTATGGTGAATTATCGACCCTCAACATACTGGGAGATACTCGTTCAACAACGTTATATGAAAACTCTGGCTATATTGATATCAGTATATTAACTTGGTAAAAACAATAATAGCAAAAAACATTGATATTTGTGAGGACCGACAGGTCGTTGGATTAAAACGGATAATCCGCTGTTTTCAGTATCACGCAAAGCACCGAGCGCCAAAATCACCAACTCCTACATACATCGACGCCTGCGAGGCAACGTCACATCACGACAAGAGCAGCGGCTACAGCTTTCCAGAAGGACTGAGACTCCAAGAGCCGCGATCGTGGACCCCCACGCTCTCACCGTGACAATCTCGAGCATCTCCGGTCGGCTGATGTACCCGTTGCCGTCCAGGTCGTACATGGAGAAGGCCCACTTGAGCTTCTGCTCCAGCCGACCCCGTGACGTCACGGACAGGGCGCAGAGGAACTCCCGGAAGTCGATCGTCCCGTCACCGTTGGCGTCGAACGTGCGGAACACGTGCTCGGCGAACTGGCGGCGCAAAGGGGCCGTCAGCGTCCAGCTCTGACACTGCAGAGGGGCCGTCAGCGTCCAGCTCTGATACTGCAGAGGGGCCGTCAGCGTCCGGCTCTAACACTGTATGGCACTGCAGAGGGGCTGTCAGCGTCCGGCTCTGACACAGCGAGGAGCAGTCAGCGTCCGGCTCTGACACTGCAGAGGGGCCGTCAGCGTCCGGCTCTGACGCTGCAGAGGAGCCCGTCCTTACACTGCAGAAGGATCCGTCCGTCCGGCGTCTGACGCTGCAGAGGGGCCGTCAGCGTCCGGCCTCTGACACGGCAGAGGGGCGTTCAGCGTCCAGCTATGACACTGCAGAGGGGTCGTCAGCGCCCACTCTGGACACTGCAGAGGGGCCGTCAAGGCGTCCGGCTCTGACACTGCAGAGGGGCCGTCAGCGTCCGGCTCTGACACTGCAGAGGGGCCGTCAGCGCCCAGCTCTGACACTGCAGAGGGGCCGTCAGCGTCCGGCTCTGACACTGCAGAGGGGCCGTCAGCGCCCAGCTCTGACACTGCAGAGGGGCCGTCAGCGTCCGCCTCTGACACAGCGAGGGATCCTCGGCGTCCGGCTCTGTTGTCATTGGGGTTTTACGACGCACTCAGCTGCCGAGGCTATACGGCGTCGCCTGCCTCTCACCCTGGCAGGCAGGGCGGGCACCGCGGGGAATCGAGCCCCGTACCTCCGGTTTCCCAGAGGCGCAGTGATTAAGGCAGACGCGTTAACCCTACACCACCAGCCCCCTCAGCGCCCGATTCTGATACCACGAGGGGCCGCCAGCGTCCGGCTCTGACACCGCGAAGGATTGTGGCCGTCGTCCCGCCCTGACACCGGGGGCTTGTCGCTGTCGTCTGGCTCTGACACCGATTGTGGCTGTCGTCCGGCTCCGACGCCGAGGGACTGCAGCTGTCATCCGGCTCTGATACCCATTGTGGCCGTCGTCCAGCTCTGACACCGAGGGATTGTGGCTGTCGTCCTGGCTCTAACACCGTAGGATTGTGGCTGTCGTCCGCTCAAACAGCGCAAGACACCGGGAGGAACCTGAGATGACCACGAGTCATCAAAGCGAGAGGCAGAAACATGCAGCATCGCAAATCAAGCATGATCGTGATGCTGGTAAATATTTTCGGGCGGACGAAGTACTGGCCACGCAGCCACGTGCGTTCGCTGTCCGAAGCCTGAAGACCGCCGCCCGCGACTTCACTTGGGCCGGTGATCTCTGCCCGGAATACTGTCCAGCTCCCGGCTGGTCCTCAGCGGCCATCCTCGGGGAGATGAGCCGGCCGCCGCTACCCGGCCATCCCCGGTGGACGTCTGAGTCTGGAGCGAGCCCCGTAACGGCGGCGCTCCGTCCAGCCGTCTGGCCGGCCCCCACCGGGCCGGTAAATAACGGTCCAACTTCGCCGGCCGGCCGGCCCTGCCGCTCCGCTGCCAAACGGCCGAGCGCTGCAATCGTGGAGGCGGAGAGAGCGGGGTCCGCGACCGGCCGGGAGCGTCCCCCGGGACCTCTCTCCGGAGGTGGGGGGCCACCGGCTGCGGCCTCCTACACTCTCCAGAGGTGGAGCGCCACCGACGGCCGTCGAAGCGACGCACCTTGGACGCGTCACCGTAGGGGAAGAAGTTGCCGTAGATTTTCTTGAACTCCTCCACAGTGAGGTTGCCGGTGGGGCAGTCCTTGAGGAAGCCCTTGTACCATTCCTGGATCTCGGCATCTGGCGATGTGGGAACACCATTAGAAAGTTGTAACAAAGGTCAAGGCAAACTTGGCGCATTACTTTTTGCACACGTGCCGTAGGCACACGCCAGACTAGCCACAAAACCCTTCGTAGATGATCACACTGTAAGGACATAGATACAACGCATCAGTCATGATCCACTACAAACAAATGTCGACCTCCGTCGTTAGCAACCCGAAACCTACATCCAGTCCTAGCAACGCCGTCTGCGGCGTCTTTTCCGTTGACACCGCTGTCTTCTAGACACACACACCACAGCACAGCAAACATCCACACACTTCACCCAGCTTCCTCTGACTTTACGTTCCCCTCCCCTTCCACACCCGGCGCCTTAATTCAAGCCGGACAGGCATGTGATCCAACCGAGCGTTCGACGCGAACGAGTTAAGACGGGTCATAAAAGCGGCAAAAGCTGGGCATCATTCTTGGAAACGAAATCCGCCGCTAATCCTTCGGTTATGAAAGTCGGTGATGGGAAAATAACACGAAATGTACTCGTCAAGGGTGTAGTTAGTGCGTCGATAAGCCGACGTGTCCTGGTAACGACCGACGAACATCAAGAACGATCGGTTTTCTTATTGGGCCAAGCTCAGAAATGGCGCCAACAAAAAGCGCACGAAACCACGCCAAGAAACTACCGCGATAGCTAACCACGCGACATTTTAAATACATCGAGACTGGCTGACGGACTCAAAACACCTCAATCGAACGTCTGGCAAGTTTCCTTATTGCGGCTCGGGCCTTTAATTGCCGAAATATTCATCCAGGTGCCTGCCCTCGACCTCAGAGTATGATTCAAGCAAACAAGACAGAAGAAAGCCCCACGCAGACTTTTTGGCATCAATACCGCTGACAGTGATGGGTATTTAAGATAGAGCTTAAATAGAATAATGGATTGCGCTAGATAAAATAACGGTTTGGGCTAAATAAAATAATGGTTTAGGATAAAAGGAAAAATGGTTTGGGCTAAATGGAACAATGGTTTCGGCTTTAAAGCGCTGCGACCAAATTATCGCTCCTTAACAAATAACGGCATACTTAAGACGGCAACACGGATTATCAGCATAAACGCGTCCGGCCGTCTTGACCTGCGCCTGCACCGACAGATACACACTAACACCCCAGGCCCCGCCCCCAGCCCAGTGGCGACACCGAAACGGTCCGCTTCTCTCCGAGCAGAGCGCCTGGCCCGATGACGTCAGAGCGCGTGTGATCCCGGCGGCCAGCCGGCGCTAAGCCGGTGCGTGCGTCACCGATAGCCGTGTGTGCGGGCTCGGAGCCCCTGCGCCCGGCCGGCCGACCCGCTGCACCCGGCGCTATCCGCCGCCTGCAGGCCCGGGCGGAGCGACCGGTGCGTAGTGGCGTGACCAAATCCACAGCAGACGGATGACTTACCTCATGTAGCGGGCGCGATTGACGTCGCTCTGACGTCACCAGGCGGATTATCGAGTGCCGGGAACGAAATTGCCTCATCCGTATTTGGAGCCCCCGGTGGTGCTGTCAAGTCAACATCGGCGCGACAGTCGCGAGTTTAGTACGATCTACCGGAGCTTTCAACAAAAGTGCTGGAAGCGCATTTTGAAAACAAGTCTAACCTGGCTACGACTGGGCGGCGAGTGCCGTTCGTTGGCTCCCGATAAGCACACATACGCTGCCGACTTTCCGCGTCCCGTACTTTCCGGCAAGTCCTGACTATCGGCCCTATCGGCCCTGCCGTGAGCGCCTATGGGCGAAGTTCACCCAAACGCCATGGACGGCGACTGGTCGGCCTGAGGTCAGCCGCCCGCAACGTGTGGCACGTGACCAGGTAAGGGCGCGGCCTTTCTCGATTAGCACAGGGGGGTGAGAGCGCGCAAACCTTTAGATCTACCCTAAAAACCTAAACTCCGCGGTTTGGCCCGCTCTGCATTTGAACCCCACGGGGCTGGCGACCCAGCATGGAGGGAGGGGGGGGGGGGGGGCGGAGAAGGCTGGTAAGCCACGGCGCCCAATATGCGCCCGTCTAACATAGCAGTCAAGTGTAAGGGAACTCTCTATAGTGACACATGAGTTTCTGAGAGGAGTCACGGAGCAGCAATGTCCTCTGAATTGCATCACTGTCTAACCTTGCTTGCAGAACTGGCGCTTATCGTAAGTATGGTCGACATCCGTGCCCGCTCCTGAATCGCCGCACGAGCGAAGGCATGATGCATGCCAATTTCGTACGGCGTCATGGGCTAACACGAGCAGAGCAAAAATTTGTGTCACTGTGATTGTTATGCGGACATTATATAAACACATGGCCCAATACGCGTCGAATATGAAGGGTCGCGGCTGTCCGTCTGCATTCTGGCAGGGCGACTCAAGCTCCCCAGCGACGCCGACCGGTCCCTCGGACAGACGTCACGGCCGCGTATGTATCACTTCTGGCGGGTCGCAGCGGCGCAGCGGGGCGCGAGAGATTAGAGCCGTGCCGGCCGGCTCTCTCACGCACTCCCGGGGCGACCGGGCCAAGCCGATTTGTCACGCCTCCCGCACGGCGCGTCCCGTCTCTCGCCCCCGAGCCGGGCGCGGGTCGAGCCGAGCCCGGCCGCCAGCAGCAGCCGGCCCGGCTCGCAATCTCACGGCATCAGGCGGCCGGCTGGAGAGGCGGCTCCGCCGACCCGGCCCCTATCCGCAGCCAATCGCATTCCGCGCCAGCGGCGCGTGTGACGCGCGCCACGAGGCCTTGAAGGCCTCTCCGCGGCCCTGCTGTCCCCAGACCGGCGGCCAGCGGGCTCAGAG